CTTCATTCGTCTTCTTGGAGCGGTGCCCCAACTCGTCAATCTCTTCGAAACAATGCCATGGTTCCAGGCAGCCGCAGATTACCCAGGCGTTTTGGGATGGATGCCAGCATGGTCTATCGTGCTTCTTCTCCCGCACGTGCTCAACGCAATGTGGGGGCGGCAAGTCGTCGAGGGCGCTGCGAAGATCGTAAGAGGTGGCCAGGGGAAGACAGGGCGAGCGCCCCCAAAAACAGCGGACGCTCATTATCAGCCGCTTGTAGCGTAGTGGGTATCAGTTCACGCGACCCTTGTCGCTCAGAGTCGATTTCGCCGCCACGACCGCAGTTGCCGATGATGGGCAAGGATCGCTTCTGGTTCGCCTCCGCACGGGCTCCTGGTCCGCACCGGAGGTGCCCACGGTGGCCCGAAACTTGCCCAGGACCGGCGCAGAACGGCGCCGTTTCCACGAGGCATGGCGACTTGCGCCGGTCAGTGGCGCGCCGGTGCCCAGAGTTGCGCTTCAGATCGACATCGGCGAAAGGGGGGACGGGATCGTCGAAGGAAGGTGGATGGAGATTCCGCAGAACATACCTACTCACCACCACCATGCCCGGCCAGGGCCATCCTGTGCCTCTGGATGGTGTGAAGGCCTTGCTGGCCTCCGCGAGGAGGGTTCTATACTTCATGCCAGGACCTAGTATGGCCCTGGCCAAGGAAAGTGGTGTATCGGGCCCTTCTGCGTAGGCAGGGCGGGCATGCCAAGTGCCAGGCAGCTTGTCATCCGTGGGCGAATTGGAGGGGCGCTCGCCGAGGCGCAGTGGCCTGCACCTCACCAGCGCATTGGGCTCGAATCGTGCTATTGTTTGTGGGTGCCGAATGTTGAATCTGAAAGGTCATAGTTCACGGTAGGCGCATCCCAACAGAAGCCAGCCTGACAGCACACATACTACAGTAATTTCTGATTACCCCATGGGATTTCTTGGGCACCCTGGGACGTCTTGCGATTGGCGCAGAAGTTGCCCCTACTCGTAGGTTGATCGCATGTATATGTTGCAGCACGTCGAACTGCATCGAGTTCCTCCATCCGTTGCCCGAAGTTTCAAGGCATATGTTCGGCATCACCCAAGCATACTTATGAAATGTGAGCGTCGGCCCAGTAGGGGCGACACGCGCATTCAGAAATCTCATGAGATAAGCTCGGTGGCGGGCGTTTTCTGGCGATACTGCTTGGGCTACGCGCTCTGCTATAGCACGCGTGTGCTACATGTTCGGTTCGAGCGTGCCCTTCCAAGAGGGGCGCATAGCACGAGCACATCCTTCTGCTTCACATCCCACTCCCCCCCCCGGGCGCGCCGCTGCCTTCTCCGAAGCCACACAGAAAGAAGGCTCGGAAGCTTCCGAGAAGCCTCGCCGCCTTCTGGGAAGGCCTGCCTCCTCTCGCTGCCCCATCGGCTCGCCGCCGACCCGCTCACCACAAGGCCCCAGAGGCCCCGACCGCCACCCCGGTTGTCGAAACCAAATGCCTATATAGCCCTTGGCCGGAACGCCAGCCAGCCTGACCAGCCCAACCAGCCCAAGACCAGGCCGGCAGCCGGGAGGGGGCACATCGCACCGCACTTGCCTCCCGGGCGGGCGTCCCCAGCACGGTCCGTAGGCCGCCACATCGCACCATGCCGTGAGGAATTCAGGAGGGAAAAAAACACACAGACACAAGTAATCGTCGATCCCAAGAAAATATAGGAAAATATGGGAAGTCGAGTTCGCCGCACGGTCTATCACCGCACCGTTTTGGGACCCCCAGTATTGGCGGTTGCGGCCGTTGCCGATGCCCATAACTAGGGTCTTGCCCTCAGGGTCCTCGTTCAGTTCCTTCACCAGCCCTCTCTCATCTCTGGGGCCCACCCGCTAGTTTCACTGTGCGCAGCCAGGCCAGCATTGGTTCTGAAAAGCGCCCGAGCATAGGTGCCCGATTGAGCCCGCAGAGAGGGAGTCACGGCGTGCCCCCAAGGGGAAGTTTGCACGCAGAGTCTGCAACCAGTCGGTGTTAGAGATACTGCCTCGACGAGGGTCGTTACCAATCGCTGCCAGGTGTCTTGGGGGCGTATTTGCGCCCCTTGGGGGGGTAAGCAGTCTTGGAGGCCAGCTACGGGCCTTTGGGGGTCTATGAGGCACGACGTGCGTGAGGGGTGTGCCGAATTGAGGCTCCAAGGGGCCATCTCGGGGGCCAGCTGAGTGCCCAACATTCACGACGTCGTGAGGGGTGCGCCGAATTGAGGTCCCCATCAAAATGCAAAGGCTATTCACTCGTATCTGTACATATCGCAGGAGCCTCAAGGCCCAAATCATTACTTTTGATCGAAGGAGCCTGAGAGCGCAGATCACTTACAGTTTCACGTGTCCCAGTAGAGTGTGGGACAGGAAATGTGTGAGTGGTGTCTGGAGTTGAACACTTCGTGGCCCTCGGAGCGCAGATCACTACTATGTTCATGTGTCCAAGTGGAGTGTGCATCAGGACATGCGTGAGGGGTCGGGTCCCAGGAGCTGTCACGTGTGTGGGCCCAGCGCTGAGAGCACGTGCCGCTCATATGTTTACACTTCCCCGGAGACTTTACGGAGCCAGCCGGCGGAACGCGCGAAGCCATTCCTAGCATGCACATATGCACGCATCTCACTCTTCCCCACCATCTTCCATCACATCATCTTGTCTCGAAGCTTAATACGGAAAGGCGCCGCAGGGGTGTAATTTGGTAGTTTCGCGCGCCCCGCGAGACCAGCTTGCTTCATCCTTGCCATTCGCTTGTGTGCTCGTGGGCATTGGGAAGTTAGCGGGGCTGTGGTCGTTTCCCAAAGCTGCTTCGTGAAGCTCGCGTGTGTCGCGTGGAGGAGAAGCAGTCACTTTGTAGACCCAGTGCGACAGTCAACAGAACAAGGTCCCACAGCCTCGGTGAACACGAGATTTGCAGACGGTGTGCGTTCTTACCGAAGCACTTGCTGGCGGGAAACTTGTTCACCGCAGTCTCCGAAATGGCGGCGTAAGTTAGCCTTGGTGCGCGGCCGCTCTACGAAAGACCACGTGTAAATGTGCGAGGCAATCAGTGGCGCAGACGATTGCACCAGTGGCCATCATTGTAGGATTAGATGCACGTGTTCCTGTTTGTTGAGGGGCGTCTATGCGACGCTTGGGGTCTACCGCTGCTGGCGCCAGCATTGCATTCTGGCTGTCTGCAAACAGGCCGTCTGCAATGTGGCACCGATGACATTCCGCCGTTGCCGTCCTATCAACGAGAGTGCATGTGGGAGTCTCTGGAAGGTTCGTTGTGTGTGTGTGTGTGCAGACGGGCACTGTGTGCAGTAGAATCGGCCGATGCGTCTCGTTACAGGCGAGGCGGACTAGATCTTCTGGGATCCACGAGCGCATAATGCCACAACCGACCTCGTTGCCAACGAGGCCACGGAAAGGGGACCAACTTGGGAAAGGACGGATTGGTTGCTGTTGACACAGACCCATGCGGCAGAGAGCCAATGCTCGTTTGTCGGTGGATGGCGCTCGCCGCGAGAGCGGTCAGCCTGCAGCAGGGATCGTAGTCATCGCGTTCCTCCAGGACGGGGGGCGCCACATCTTGCACAGAGTTGGAGCTATGTTGGGAACGCTGCCGTCAGCGTGTGCGGCAGAACTCGTTGCATTCGTTTTGGCGTTTTGAGCACGTTGTGCGTTTGCGCACAAGGAGATTTTAGAGGTCGTGGACCATGTAGGCAAGACCGCCTTGCACCAAATCGAAGGCGACAGAAGAAATAGCACGGTCCCACCGAAGCTTCGCCGTCGAAACTTGAGAACACTTACAGGCATGTGTGTTGTTGCTGTTGTGGCTCTTCTGGTTACACATCAGCTTCGGTGCGCAACTAGCCCTGCCGCGTGATGGCTCTTGCTGCTCGACGCTTCGTACCGCACGTCCCCGATGACAAACATGTTCTGCTGTTGTGCGCGAAATCAGCGCGAAGAGAAGAATTCCGTGGGCTGTCAGAGCGTGTGGGTAAATTGTTGGGATTGTCTGGGAGTCTGACGGTGGTGTCGTCAGAACGTCGAATGCGTGCATTAGGGCCTCTTGGGGGCTGCCTTGGACAATGTTGGGCAATGTTGGGGCTGGCGCGCGGTTATAGTGTATTCGATTCAAGAGTTCTACACCGTTCCGAGTCCTCGAGGACAGGTTCTTCGGTCGTCTTGGGCCGTATGTGCAGCTGGTCGGGCTGCCTCTGGCCAGCCTGGGCCATCTGGGGCCATGTTGGGCCGTTGGGGATCAACCGGGAATGAGATTTATTACAACCATTTCGGACTGTTCAGGAACTACTTCGGTCGGATTACAACCACTGGAATCGGACGAATCGCAACCCGAAGGATTCCTAGAGAAACATTTCTGAAGAACACCGGATTGCAACCGATCCAAGAGCTTCTGCAGAGCTACTGCAGAGCTCTCAACGAGGCCTCTGAGAGGCCTCAGCGAGGCCTTTCAGAGGCTTCTCTGAAGCTTTTTCAGAGGCTTCTCTGAAGCCTTTCAGAGGCTTCTCTGAAGACTTTCAGAGGCTTCTCTGAAGCCTTTCAGAGGCTTCTCTGAAGCCTGTTTCAGAGGCTTCTCTGGAGCCTTTCAGAGGCTTCTCTGGAGCCTTTCAGAGGCTTCTCTGAAGCCTTTCAGAAGCTTCTCTGATGCCTTTCAGAGGCTTCTGTGAGGACTTTCAGAGGCTTCTCTGAGGCTTCTCGGGCTCCGGGGGCCCTCGCCGGGCCCAGGGGCCGTCCAAATGTGACTCAGTATGCAATGCTGGTCTACTGTAGGTTCATGCGGCGTTGGCACGCCGGCGACGTTGGTGAAGCGTTCAAGGCTGCATTCTGCGACGCGGAAGTACCGACGGACACGGTGGGGCCATTGTACCCGACGAAATTCAACCTTGAACGATCGGGACAGCGACCGATTCAAGGTGGAACGATCGACGCGGTACCAAAAGCCGTGCGAGTGCCGACGCCGCACGAACCCTACCGTACGGGAATTCGTCCAGACCTCTTGGGGTCGACGTTCCGGAAAAGTCATGACGTTCGGGGTTTGGGCCGCCGCGTGTACCATCCTGTCCTCGCGGCTATGGCGGCTGGCGCGGCGCGTGGCGCCTGTGCTGCTGGCGGCGCTGGGATGGCTCCTGGCGGTGGCGCTGGCGGCGCGGCGGGCGCTCCTCCTGTCGCAGGCGGCGGCGGTCGAGGAGGCGCTGCGCCTGCTGCCCCCGTGGGTGCCCATGCCGCTGGCGTGGATGGCGGCGTGGCGGCTGGCGCGGGTGCGCCGCAGGCGGTGCTTCAGCCTCCTAATCTGGCTCAGCTTGATGAAGAGGGTCTGGCGCGCTGGTGCGCGGAGCATCGTCAGCGGCTGGAGTTCTGGCAGGAGCTCCAGCGGATCTACGTCAGCGCGGTCAAGGAGGACGACGCCGATTCAGAGATGGCTTCAGAGTATGGTGATGCTCAGCGTGATGAGTTGGAGTCTCTGCGCAAGCGGGCACGTGAAGGGCCCCTCGAAGCTACACAGCAAGATCGTATGGAGAAGCTCTTGGTCAAGTCCGCCAATTGCAAAGCGGTCAAGCGGCTGCGAACTATCCGCGAGGACACGGCCTCGAGTTTTGGCAGAGTGCTTCAGCAGGCGGTCCCTGCCGGCGGCGTGGCCCAAGTCCCTGTCCCTGCAGATGGTGTCGATGACGGACTACGTGAGGCGGCGGCGGCTGCTGGTGGTGAGGCCCCTGTTGCGCAAGCCCGTTTTTAACAGGCACACTGGTGGTCACGAGGCGGCCACCAGTATCGATTTCCTTTTCTGTAATATCACCTCGTGGAACGAGGTTGCCGTCTCGTTCGCTTCCAGCGTGCGAGCCAGTTGTGACGGTTTCTTCTTTGCCGAGCATCACCTGGATTGTGATCGGGTGAAACTGGCGAAGAGGCGAGCGCACCAGCTGAAATGGCGACCCCATTTCATTCCTGCTACGCCCTCCCCAGGGGGTGGAACCCATGGTGGGGTGGGGGCCGTAGTGTCTCGGGGATTGTCGTTTCAACGTTTTTTGCATTTAGACGGTCCAGTGCAGGACCATGGCTCTGGAAGCCATTGGATGTTTCTTGAGTTACGCACCAAAAAAGCGGTGATCGCTGTGGGCGTTGTTTATTTGGTGTCGGGCCTGGGAGTCTGTGGAGAGAATGTGAACAGATTGCGAGGTGTCTCGGAGTTTCTGGGAACGTTGTCGGTTCCGTGGATTTTGATGGGCGATTTCAATGTCTCAGCTGGTGATCTCGATCTTTCGGGCTTCCCACGACTTGCGCGAGGGCGAGTGCTGGTCCCGTCGCTGGTGGAGTTCACCTGCACGCAGGGGCGCGGCTCCCTGATCGATTACGTGGTCGCTTCGGAGGATATTGCCAGCTACGTGCGAGTATCTAAGTATACACCGTCACCATTTAAGACACATGCGTGTTTGAAGGTTTCGTTGGACCATGGGGCGGTTGAACAGACGTTGTGGAAGCGTGTCAAACCTCCTCCTTTTCCTGATTGTGCTGGTCCTGATTTACCCTGGGAAGTTTTGTTGACGCAGGTGTCAGACGATGGTGACTTGGAGGTTCCGTTTTATTTTGAAGATAACTTCTTACCCCATGTTCATGATCATCTTTCTCCTGCTCTCTCTCTCTCGTCAGTACCGTATTTGGAGCCGAGCTACCGAATTGATGTTTCTCTCTCGCGCTTGTGCGATGCAGTTGTTGCCTTGCGAGAGTAGTGTGCGTGGAGGTTACCCGAGTTTTCGACGTGCCAAGATTGGACGTAGAGGTTTCTGTGGTCAGAGTTTCCAATCCCCTACGCTGTGTTTCTGGGCTCATGTTTCTCAGACCTTGTGGGAGTTTCGTCTGTGTAAGGCTCGGAAGTCTTGGGATAATATGCATTGGGCTGGTCGTGTGTTGCACGTTTTGTCGGGTCAAGTCCACGCGCATTGCCTCCCTGGGCTTGTGCACCCCGTCGAGTGGTGGATAGCTCAGCTGGCCGCCGTCCCGTCGTCGGTCGATGGACTGAATCTTCTTAGTGATGCGGTCGCTCACGCTTTCGGCCAGGCTTGGAATGATGCTCGCGCTCTGTCTAAGGAGAAGATGAAGCAGCGGCTTCTTAAGGCCTTGCCGCGTGGCGCCAAGAGGGTTCACTCTTGGCTCAAATATGATCAGGGGGCTGACCTCGAGTATTTGGTTACTCCCTCGGAGGTGAAGCAATTGCCCGAGGAAATGATGCAGTATCGGCAGGATTTTTGGAGCGCGTTTTGGACTGCTCCTTGGGAGCAGCGCGAGGCCCTCTCGGGAGTTTTGGATGTGGTTCGCCGTATGGTGATCTCGAGCCGTTGACCCCCTGTGCGGTGTCCAGAGCTGCGCGGATGTTCAAGGCTGACACTGCTGTGGGCATTGACTGTTGGCCTCCGCGGATTTTGGCGCCCCTCCCTGGGGCTGCTGTTGGGGCCTACGCGGATCTCCTCAATCAGTGCGAAGCTTGTATGATGTGGCCCACGCAGGTGATGATGGGTATCATCGCTCTGTTACCTAAGGCGGCTGATGCGGAGCGCCCTGTTTGCAAATGCCCGTCGTTGTATAGGGTCTATTGTCGTGCGCGAGGCCGTGACATTGATGAGTGGTCTCGGGAGCGTGAAAACTTTTGGGATACCGCGGTTAGGGGCTCTTCGGCGTTGCAGGCCGCGTTGTTGCGAGAGATCGGCCATGAGACTGCTAGATATCTTGGGGAGCTTTCGGTTGGGCTGTATTGGGACCTCAGTAAGTTTTTTTGATACGGTGGACCCTCTCCGCCTGGCTGGATTCGCCTTGCAGATGTCTTATCCCGTTCATTTTCTGTATTTAGGTATCTTGATGCATGAGGCCCCGCGTATTTTGGAGGTCAACGGCTTCGTGTCCGACGTGATGCCCACTGGTCGTGGGGTGCTTCCTGGGTGTGTGCAATCTATGCCTTGGGTTAAAATCTACTTGTATGATCTGTTGGATTTCGCACACGCCCAGTATTTTCCTGTTGTCACTCTGGCGTACGTCGATGACATTACCCAGACGCAGCAGGGTTCTTGGAGTGAGATTGTCTCGCGCATCGTGCCAGCCGCAGTTCATTTGTGCCATCAGCTTGAGCAAGCTGGCACTACTATTTCCAGTAAGAGTACTTTCGTGTGTTCAGATCGAGCTCTGCAAGAACATCTTGAGGGTTGTTTCCGCGCTGCACAGCTTCCTATTCGTGTTGGGGAAGCGGTGCGCGACCTGGGGGTCATGACTACTGCAGGGCGTCGACGTTGTGTGAGTAAGTTGAGACAGCGACGTGCCGTTGCGTATAAGAAAGCTGCGAAAGTGAGGTGTCTGACCCGTTTAGTCGGCAGAGCTAGGAAGCTCTATAAGCCTGCGGTGTTGGCGGTTGGATCCTGGGGCCATGAAGTTTTGGGTCTTTCGCCGTCGCAGGTCCAAAGCATGAGGAGTCAGGCCGCTACGTGTTCTGGTTGGTGGAGTCCTGGGTCCTGCACGACTACCGTTCTGAGTTTGGTTAGCCCTGCTAAGGATGACCCCCAGTTTAGGTTGCGGTACGAACAACTCAATGCCTTTGCGTCAGCGTGGAGTGGGATGGAACATAAACAACGTATGCGTGTGGCCCGTGTGTGGAAGCAGGTGTTGGCTAAATTCGAGTGCACTCAGTACCGTTGGCAAGTCGTGCGAGGTCCGATTGCGGCTACGCTTGCGGTGCTACTTGATTTGCGATGGGATCCTGTTTCTCCAGTCTGCTGGCGTGTTGGTACAGTTACATTGCGGGTGACTGATGCAGATTTCCCTGCCCATCTTTGGGACCTTTTGTTTGATGCATGCCAGTCGCTTTCGTGGCAAGCGGCAGCGGGTCATTATATGGGTACAGGGGTGGAAGGAGGAGTTGATTTTACTGTGTTGTATCGTATGCTACGTCATCAGGAAAGGAATGGTGAGGCGGAGGCTGCAGGAATGGTACGTAATCTTGTCGCTGGTGGCTACTGGACGGAGTCCAGACTTTACGATGCGGGATACCGCTCGAGTTCAGGTGGAACCTGTACACGTTGCGGGGCCTCAGCAGAGACCCCTTCCCATCGCTTTTGGGACTGCTCCTGCAACCGGCTTGTGCCTGATGCGGTCTTGGATCGCACCGATTGTTTGCGCGATCGGGTTTTAGCGGAGCCTGAGCTTTCGTGTTTGTGGTTTCGAGGCTTGGTCCCGAAGGCTCTCACGTGTGGCCATTTGCCTCCGCCTGTTTCGCAGGTGTGGGAGCGGGGCCGACTGATCGGAGGAGGTGTGATCGATGGAGGAGTGTGGGGAATAGATGGATCTGGGGGGAAGTTCACTAAGGACTGGCGGCTTCGCCGCTGTGGCTGGGCGTGTGTCCACTTAGGTTCATCTGGCCTCTTCGACTCCCTCCTCATGGGCACCCCCCCTACCAAGAAGCAGTCCTCTCCTCGTGCGGAGTTGTTTGCTCTCATTATGCTGGCACGTCGTACTACGGGGCATTGTCGTGTGTACTGTGATTATTTGAGGGTAGTTCAAGGGTCACGTCGCCCATTGTGTGACAAACGTGGGTCTTCGATGCTGGATCTTTGGGTGCAATTTCATGATGTTATGTTCGCTAGAGGGGGATCTATCCAAGTGTTGTGGACGAAATCGCATTCGACCCAGGCCCAACGCCAAAATATGTTTATGAGTGATGTAGAAGTGTATTTGAACAAGGCTGCTGATTTCTTTGCCGACGCTGCTGCTGACAGGGCCCAGATCCCCGAGGATTTAGTTGACCGAACCCGTCGGGCCGACAAACTTGCGTTTGATGTGTTGTCGCGGTTGTTGGCGGTCCAGCGTGAGGTGCTTTTCTCGGGAGGTCGTGAGACTTCGGAACGGGTTCCTAGGCGGCAGCGCGGACAGCAGACCAGTTGCGCTGTGAGGTTGTGTCGCTTGCGCGATAGTGGTCACTCTCCTGTGGTGCGTTTGGCGTCTCTCAAGTGTTCTCGATGTGCGCGGGGCTTCCCTTTGAAAGGCAAGCTGGCGGATTTTTGGCCTGATCCCTGCAAGCCTCGCTGTGAACTGCAGCAGCGGATTCAGTGTCTTCCTCCTCGCGTCGCCCAGGCCTCAGGGGTGGAAGATCCGCCGCCTGATGATCTGGCTGCTGTTCAGGGGTGTGGAACACCCCTGGACCACCCAATGTCGGAGTTTTGTTCGCCCACGCATCAGTTGGCCGTGTTTCGAGGGGTTTTGTATTGCGAGGTATGTGGTGGTTTTTGCACAGTGAACCCCCCTCGCATTCTGAGCAGGGCTTGTGATCGGCCCTCGTCCACTGGGAAGGAGGTTTTGTCGAGGATCTCCCGCGGGCTTCCCCCGAAGTCGGGCACCCGTTTCCCTGATGTGTGAGTTGGTGTTTAAGCGACCTCCCTAGAGGAGGATGACGCTTCAGATAGAATTAGAATTAGAATTATCCCCTCCTCTCCTCCTCCTCCTCCTCCTCCTCCTCCTCCTCCTCCTCCTCCTCCTCCTCCTCCTCCTCCTCCTCCTCCTCCTCCTCCCCCTCCTGAGATGCAATGTGTTCCACACCGGGCGTTTTCGCTCAGTTTCGGTTTCACTCGTATACGAATCACAGAGAAATCGTATACGGATCATGGCCACGTTCCAGCTCAAGTACATGTGTTGAGTTGAGATCATGATCGGCCGTCGGTGATCGGACCGATCGCAACCGCTTTTTCAGATTCCCATTGGGCGGCTTAAGGGAGCTCAATGCACCCAGAGGCGCTCTTACGATCTCTTCCTTAATCGAACCTGATTGAAACGACCCAAAAACATCGCAACCACTTCGGACCGATCGCAACTGGTTGCGATCGGTCCGAAGTGGTCGACGATCGGTCCGAAGTGGTTGCGATCGGTCGTGCTGGCGGGATCAACCGTGGGGCCGGTGTCTGGCTTTCGAAAAGAAAAGAAAAAAACAAACATGAACATAAATTTGTGGCGCTCCACGCGGATTTCTTGGATCCGCGCCTGGGCCCCCCGGCGGCGCCTCCGGGAGGGGGGTCCAGCGCGAATCCAAGAAATCCGCGCGGAGCGCCAAAAGTTTATGTTTCTGTGGTTGTTTCCTCGTCTAGGTTCGGCACCCACTGGCCCTCGTTCTGAGGCTGCTTTCGAGGCCTCGTGGAGCTCTGTTCGTTGGTGCCCTCGCTGGGACCTCGCTGCGGGATCCTGGGACCCTCGCGCACCTCTCTTGGGGCCCCCCTGGGAGCCACCTCGCGGGGCCCGAGAAACCCACTGGAACCCGCCAGGGCAACAAGGCCCAGGGCGGCAGCAAAGACACCATGTTGGTGCGTGGTTTGGCTCTTGGACGGGGGCTTCCGAGGGGCCGAGATTCAGCCACCCCGGGTATCAGACATCGTGCTGGCAGCCACGGGCCGGATGCGTACTTCTGCTCAGGGTCGCAGATGTCGCCTTCTGTTCGTGGCATGGTTTTCGTTTTTGTTATTTCACATGTGGTGTGGTTTGTCATTTTCTGTGGCGTGTTGTTGGATGGAGCCCGCGCGGATCACCTCAAGTATGCAATTTGTTAAAATTCACCATGTTTGCGTCCCTGTCCTGCATCGTCTCTCTCCAGGCCGGGCGGAGTGACATCCTACCGCACTGCGTTCGCTGTAGGTGAAGTACGGCCAGAAGGGGGTGTCTCTGCAGGGGTCCATCGGGCTGCCTTGGACCATCGTGGGGCCACCATCGCACCCCTGCCAACATTGTCAGACTAGCGGGGTCCTCTCGGAGCCCGCATGGGCCCGACACCACTTGGCCCACGCTCTCGGCGCGCTCGTGGGGGCTTCCGCCTGCTCTTCGGGCGCTCTTGGGCCGACTCAGGGCGCAGCTGGGGCCGCAGACACCCCCCAGGAGCGCCCTCGCGCGCGCGGGCGAGAAAAAACAAGAGCATCTCGACCACACGACCTGACTGTTACGATCTACTTGCTGCCGATGTGCCGGCGAAGTTCTGCGACGCCCTGGGCCCTGGGGGACCTGGCTGGAGCCTCGGACTGCAGGGCCTGTTCCCACCAGCGGCGTTCCCGCCGCCGGATTGCTGACCACAAGATGGTTCAAGGCAGCCCCAGACGGCCCACGGAGGTACCCGATACCTTTTAGTTGGTGTTCGGACTTTTTGTTGACGGCCCGACGACGACGCAGTACGTCCACTATGCGCCCAAGAGGCTGAGGAAGGCCGCCTGGAGCCCAAATTCACGACAAGGAGCTCCCGAGGAGTCCCCTTAGAAGCCACAAACGTTTTTCTGTTTGTTGTTAATAATGTCCAGGGTGCGTGGTGGTGCCAGCCCAGAGGGTTAGCGAAACCCCTCGGTTCGTCGTTCCGCTTCCGCAGGCGCAAACCATTGGCTCAAGGAATAGGTTGACTTCACCTGTGAGTTCTCAAGTCTGGAAATTGTTCATATCCGGCCAGGTATCATTCAGCAGAGGTCATGGGTGGGCTATTTGAAAACATTGATTTTACAAATGGCCAAATCGTTCTGCATTATGGGAACAAGGCTTGGACGAATTTGTTCATTGCGTGTGCCTGCTATTTCGTTTTCTTCGTGCTGGTGTTCTGTGTAGTCTACGTTGCCCTGGGCTTGGCTTGTAAAGACCCCAATGATGTGTTCCCTGGAAGGTCGGAGAAACCTGTGTCGCGGGAAACTGTCGCACTGAAGTCTTTTAACATTGTTCATCATATCATTGTTGGGCCATTGGCTGTCGCAGCATTGGTAGTCGATCCAGTCAGTCGGGCAATGCTGGTATTCCAAGGAGGTGTTGGCATGCTGAGGTCCGAAGATTTGAGCAAGCCCGCAGCTGCATTGGCTCCGATAACAATCGGTTTCTTGGCCGCTGACCTTTTATTCATTCGCTTCGCTCATTCCGCCGGCCCATGTTGCATGATCGCTACTGCTTCGCCGTGGTCCCGGGGCCATTGTGGCGCCGCCGAAGAGGAGGAGGAGGATGAGGATGGGGAAGGAGAGGGGAGGAGGAGGAGAGGATGAGAAGGAGAGGAGGAGGATGAAGATAAGTAGGAGGAGGAGGAGGAGGAGGAAGGGGAAGGGGCGGAGGAGGAAGCCTCTCGTTGGCATCTTGTGTTGCTCTTTGGGCCAAACAGGGTCGTCGTCACCTCTAGGGGTTTTTTGAGAAGCCGTTCGGGGGCGCCTGGGAGGCATTTGTGAACTTCTGGGGCCTCTTGGGGCCTCTTTTGGGCCTCCTGGGGGCCTCCTGGGGGCCTCTTGGGGGCCTCTTGGCGGCCTGTTGGGGGCCTCTTGGAGGCCTCTCGGGGCCTCCTGGGGTCCTCTTGGGGCGGAAGGCTCGAGTTTTCGGTTCGTGGTCCCCGTCTTGGGGCCGTCTTGGACCGTCTTGGGCGCCTCTTGGGCCGTCTCGGGGCCCTCTTGGGCCCTCTTGGGGCCCTCTTGGAAGTCTCTTGGCCCGTCTTGGGGCGCTCTTGGGGGCCTCTTGGGCCGTCTTGGAGCATCGGATGGCCGAAAAGGCTACAAGGCCAAAATCCTTCCAAAACCATCGTAAAATTATGATGTTGGCCTCTCGGGCCCTGTTGTGAGGCCTCTTGGAGGCCACTTGGAGGCCTCTGGGCCGTCTTGGGGTCATCATCGGCGTCTTGGAGCCCTCTTTGGGCGTCTCGGGGGCCTCTTGGTTAGTCTTGGGGACCTCTTGGGTCAGGAGGGGGGGTCGTCGATTGCGCCCCTCCCCTCGGAGGCCACGATCCTCGTGAGGGGTGTCGAAAAATTGCCAGATCTGGCATATCTGATCCGAGTGTCACAGGGGTGTCCCGGGGGTGTCCCAGGGTATTTTTCGTCCAGGGACGCCCAGGGGCGGCCCCGCTCGCGCGAACTAGAATATTGTTAACCAGTTGCCGGAGATCTTAGCACGCCCTTGGCTCGTAGGGCCGGCGAATTTTTCAATGCGTGGGCCCTCCCAGCGGGTGCACCGAAAACTGCGACTTTCATGCAGAAGTTGTGTTTGCCACAATCGGTCTTAATGGTTTTTCACCACGCGATGTCTATGGTGGCCTGGCCGTTTGCCATCGAATATGATTTCTGCAGCCGCTACGTCGTTGTAATGTTGGCATATGAATTCTCAAGTGTGTTTCTTCTGTCAAATTGGTTCATATCGACGGCTGGCTACAAACGCAGCATGATGTATATTGCAAGCGGAGGCCTTTTCACGCTTTCTTTCATTATCATCCGTCTGGTCGGGGCGGTGCCTCAATTCTTCAACCTCTTCGAGACAATGCCATGGTTTCAGACAGCCGCCGATTACCCAGGCGTGTTGGGATGGATGCCCGCATGGTCTTTCGTGCTTCTTCTCCCACACGTACTCAACGCAATGTGGGGGCGGCAAGTCGTGGAGGGTGCCCTGAAAATCCTAAGAGGTGACCAGGGGGAGAAAGAGCGAGCGCCCGCAAAAGCTCCTGATCCTCCTTACCAGCCTGTTGCAGAATAAGTCGTAAAGTTGTCTGTGCCGTTGATTTGGCGACCATGACCGCAGTTACCGAAGGTGGGGAAATATGGTGTCCGCCCGTCACCACGGGCATTTGGGCCGCCTTGACCAGGTCCAGGTCCAGGTCAAGGTTGCCCATTGCGGCATGCACATATTGTGTTTGTGACATTGACCAGTCCTTTGCTTCAGATGTTCATATTTTCTAGGAGGGGAACAGGAAATTACATTCTCGAGACGGGGGGATGGAGGCCGACGAGGAGGAGAAGATGGAGGAGAAGCAAATGAGTAGAAGCAGGAGGAAGAAGAAGAGGACGGAGGACGGGGCTGGAAAGGAGGAGGAGGAGGAGGAGCAGCACAGGATGAGGAGGATCGATAAGGAGAGAGTGAGAGAAGGAGCCCAGTATGATGAGGCGGAGGAGTAGCCGAATGAGGATGACGAGGATGAAGAGGCGAAGGACGACGACTTTCCAGGCTGAGCCATCTTAAGGTTGCATTGGGGGAGGTTCGGGGCCTGATTGCGCCATTTGCGCCATTTGAGCGCCTCATGGGTGCATCTGGGGGCCAGCTGTGGGAAATGTTGGGCGATCTTGGGGTTATCTACGGGGGAGTGCGGCCAAGCTTTGATTGACTTCAGTTCTTGAGGCCCGCGTCGTAGCCTCCCAGAGCCCTCCTGGAGCCGTCCTGGAGGCCTCTTGGGCACTACGTTGATCGTTCGATGTACCGGTGTGTAGAGAAGAGAGAGAGAGAGAGAGAGAGAGAGAAAGAACAAAAAGAGAGAGAGAGAGGGAGAGATAGGAGAGAGAGAGAGAGAGGACAGACAACTTGCGACAGCATAGACAAAAGAGAGGAGAGAGAAGATTGGCAAGTATGGAGATTGAGACGGACATGCATGTGGCATTGATCTAGAGATAGAGGTCGAGGTAGGCAGGGACTGGCACAGATGTTGAGGCAGACACCCACATTTCCACACCTTAGATGACACAGACGCACGGTGGCTCCAGATAGAAGCAGATGGCCGTCTCTGCCTTGGAACCCCACACGCGGGATTCTTCACGCTGGTCCGACCCTTCGAGTAGCAGCCCAGCGTGATCCCAAGGGGGCGGGGGGTTGCCACCTTGTCTGCCGCGCGGGCTGATGGTGCGAGTGCCGCCGGCAAGGTCCGGTAGGCGTACGCACGCACGGGCTCCTCTTTTCGCGCTAGTGTGGGACAGTTTGCGGGCGTCCCTGGCGAAGTCTGGGTTCGCTACGTATGCATGAGTTGTGCGCCTATCCATGGCTCCTTTCCTCCTCCTCCTCCTCCTCCTCCTCCTCCTCCTCCTCCTCCTCCTCCTGCTCCTCCTCCGTTTCACCAGCAGCAGTTGTCGTAGCCTGATCACTCACCCAGCAGAGGTGAGCCAGACAGCGGAGACTACGGCTGCCCAGGTCTTGCTTGCTTGCCCCTCCTCCTCCTCCTCCTTCTCCTCCTCCTCCTTCTCCTCCTCATCATCATCAGCATCATCATCATCATCTTCATCCTCCTCCGTCCAGTTACCTTCCCGAGGAGCACACGGTAGCGGGAACTCTGCACACGGCTTGTGTTTTGAGGGATAGAAGGAGTTCCATGAGCAGATCTTGGTCTCCTCCTCCTCCTCCTCCTCCTCCTCCTCCTCCTCCTCCTCCTCCTCCTCCTCCTCCTTGAATGCGAAGTGGCCACAATTGGCCAGGTGCGCCTCTGCTGTGCGCTGCGGGGCTTGCGGTCCGCGTCCCCAGAGCTCGTGGAGGCACCGCTGTCTGCTGGTCGGGATGAGAGCCGCGAGCCGCGCTTGCCACGCGCTGTGCGATCACCGCGCGGCCCCCACGGCGCCCCGCCGCCATTTGGCTGTGGGGACGCGCCCCAGCGACGGGAGGGAGAGGGGCGGGAACGGGGGCGGGGGGGGGGGCGGGGGGCAGGAGGGACGAGGCGCGGAGCAGAGCGGGGGCTGGAGGGCAGGGCTAGGCGCGGTCAGCCGGCAGCGGAGGGCCACGGAGGGGCCTCGCCCAAGCTGGTGCGCCCCGACCACGGAAGGGGGAGGACCCCGCCTGGCGGCCAGGGGCGTTTGGGCCCGCTCGGCCACGTCGGTGATGCTTGGGGGCCCCTGGCCCGCGTGGCCCGCGTCGGCGAGACCGCGCGGCCGCAAGGTCGGCAAAGGGTGAAAGGGCGGGAGGGCGGGGACGAGCGCGGAGAAGGCGGAGGAGGGAGGCGAGGGGTGGAGGAGACCAGCCCAGAAGCTGCAAGGATTTACGGCCATCGCGCAGCGGTAATGTACACTCCACCCCCGAAGCTCGGTGGCCAGCCCGAGGGCGACGTGAGAAGGGGCGGGCCTTCTCGGAAGGCTCAGACGTCCCACGGCCTTCTGAGAAGTGTTCTAAGCATACCCCCCCGGCAGAGAAAGCTTCTCAGAAGGCCAGAGGCCTTCTGAGAAGTCTTGCCGCCTTCTGAGAAGGCCGTCCTCTCGAACCCCCCCTCACTCATGAGCTCGAGGCTGAGTATTTGGGAAGCTGGCCGCGAGCAATCGATCGAGGATTCTCAGGGCGAGCCCTGGAGATGGGTACCCGGCGGGGCGGCCCGCGGAGCAAGGCGGAGGGGGGAAGGGTGCGGGAGGGCGGGAGGGCGAGATCGCAGAGAGGGGCGTGGGCGAGGAGGAGGAGGAGGAAAAGAGGAGGAGGAGGAGGAGGAAGAATAAGAAGAATAAGAAGAATATGAGGAGGAGGAGGAGAAGGAGGAGGAGGAGGAGCAGGAGGAGGAGGAGGAGGAGCAGGAAGAAGAAGAAGAAGAGGAGGAGGAGGAGAAGAGGAGGAGGAGGAGGAGGGGTGGCCGAGGGGAGGAGGAGGTCGGCCGAGGGAGGCAGGGAGGGAGGGCCAGCGAGAAGGGTGGGGCGAGGCACGCAGGGGGGGCGCTGCCTCGGCCCCTCTCCCCCCCCTCCCCCGGCGAGCAGGAGCGCAGCGCCAGCTTCCGAGGACGCCCGCCGCCCGATGCCACGCGCCGTCCTCGTCCTCGTCGTCCTCGTCCTCGTCGTAATCGTCCTCGTCGTCCTCGTCCTCGTCGTCCTCGTCGTCCTCGTCGTCCTCGTCGTCCTCGCCCTCGTCCTCGTCGTCCTCCTTGTCAGCGTCCTCGTCGTCCTCCGTGTCATCGTCGTCGTTGTCCTCGTTGTCAGCGTCGTCGTCGTCGTCTTCCTTGTCAGCGTCGTCGTCGTTCTCCTTCTCGTCCTCGTCGTCCTCCCCCGAATCGTGCGAGCCAGTGCGGGGCCACCCCTGCCCCGCTGCACAGCCGAGGCGACCCAAGGCGTGCCGCACCCGACAGGCCCTCATTGTTGCTCGGTGGCCAGCGCGAGCTTCCGGCAGGGCTGCTACCGGCGTGCCCCTCGGCCCCAGATGCCTTGGGCCGAAGAAAAAATTGCAGAATCATGAACTGTCTGAGCTGCGCGCGACTTTCTTGGATCGGCGCTGGCCCCTCCCTGGCGGCGCCTTCGGTGCCGCCCTTGGCTTAAGTCGGCTTGTCCCTCTGCAGGAGAAATATTTGAAAATTGTCAAACAATAGTATGTGGACGAGTGTTTGAATATGTTTTGGCTAGTTTGCAGCATTTGTTTGGTATTTTTGATTTTTCGCCCAAAATCCGCCTGTAGGGGGACATGCCCGACCTAACCCTTGGCGCGCTCCGCGCGCCAGGGAGGGGGGGTCCAACGCCGATCCAAGAAAACCGCGCGGGCCTCCGAGGAAGTATGATCATGCTGTC